TTATGATGATCGTACATGACGAAAGGGCTGTAAATACCGAGTAAAATGGATGTGCTCTTCAGATGGTTTTGAGCAAGTGTAGTTGGTAGGAGGGTGGCGCCTACTACTGCTACTACTACTACTACTCCCACTACTGTTACTGCAACTGCTAGTACTACTACTACTACTACTACCACCACTACTACTACTACGACTACTACTACTACCGCCACCACCACCACCACTACTACTACTACTACTACTACTACTACTGCTACTACTACTACTACTCCTACCACAACTACCTCTCCTACAACAACTACTACTACCACTGCCTTTACCAAAACTGCTACTGCCACTGCTATTGCTTCTAACAAGATGGGTTATGGATGGTTCTACAGTCGCCCCTGTGTGTGACGCAGTGCAAGCTCGATGGAGCCAGCCGAGATTCCCTGGAGCTTAGTGGGGCAAGGAGTGGATGACCCTGAACCCTAGTGCGGGTTACTATGAAGCATAGGGTAGGGGGTAGTGTGTTCATTATCACTTTATATTTGCCTGCCCAACGCAAGCCAAGGGAGAAGATTTTCGGGTGGTGTTGTAGGTCACGGTGTCTGCAAGCCTGGATAAAGAAAAACATTCTGTCGGTAAATGTCCCTCCTATATCCCTTAGACCCTGAGCCCTAATTAGCAGATTCCAACACCTGCAGTCCTTATTATTATAGGAGCTCCCCAAGAATTGGCCCATGATGTTCAGACATACCCGTATTTATAGGGAGGCAATCCGACTATAGCAGCAGTATGAACAGTAGTTAAAGTCAGTACTACTGATAGATAGTGGTGATAATAGCATGGCTTGCCATCATAGACACAAAGGTCGTTTAAAGAACAATCGTAGCAACAACACTATTCACGGTCAAAGTACAACAGTATCCATGTCGTAGCAAGGTACAAAAACTCCAATTTTGACGACTCGTAGCGCAGAGGCAAAGTAGTGTTGATAACACCAATACGAGTAGTGATAGTAGCCATAGTCGTAACAGTCAGAATGATTTGTTCATTATAAGGATGCCAGTCGTATCAGTCCCCGACTATTCATTAGCCATGCAAGCTCTGCTGGAATTCAGCTTTGGTATTGGTGATAAATGGCCTGCAGTTGGCGTTTTCCAGTCAGTCGCTGAGCGACTTGCGGATTGGCAGGCCAACGTCCGGTCGTCACACGGTTGATGGACAAAATCCTGCATGACCTTACATACCTAAACTATGGGATTTATGGTACTATACTATATTTGGGTCATGCAGAATTTTGTCCATCAACAGTAGGATCTTCCTGATGAGGGCAGACGGGCAGTCATGAATGACAGCCCATCGAGCCTTGTTCGGGGCGACCAAAGCAAAAGCATTGCGTGGTGCTGCTTGGGGAAGTGGATGGCCGCTTCTTGTCTTCGGGTCAGCGCTGGGTTCAGCTATGCAAAGCGCGAGAGTATGACAAACCAAGAGATCGACCAGCATTTGCATCACAATAAAAAACGGTGGTCGTACTAGCAACCAAGGCAGTTTACACTTATGTTACGTCAGCTAATACATTTGTCATCAGTCACTGCTGATGTTTCTCACTTCTGAGAAACCTTCGTACAGATAAGGGATTGTGGAAAATCGAAGCTTCATTCTTCAGCTCAGGTCCTCCACGATTCCCGTAAGAAGAACAGTGATAATTATTTCTTAACAATCGGCCACTGGCAAGAACAGTGTTTTCAGCAGAACAGTAGTCATCTTGATAGTAGGAGCGAGTAGTATGTATATAAATAAATAAATATATATATATATATACACATACATGCATATATGTATAGTTATGAGTGTATATATATATATATATATGTATGTTTGTCTACCTATGCCTGTGTTGATTTGTGTGTGAATTTTAAGTTGTTGCGTCGTCGAATTATGTGCTATGTGTACGTAGAAAGCACTCCTATCTACACATTGGTGTTTTTTGTCTGCACCTACTGCCTGAAAGCTGGGAACTGGGATAGAGGAAGAGATGGTTCACAAGAAAAGAACTGACGTTGAGAACTGACCAACCCAAAGACCCCACCTAAGCACGATAGCCTCAAAGTCCTGATTCGCCTGAAAGCCCGAAAGGCCTAACTCTACAGCCCCTAACAGCAATCCCAAGCCTTGAACGCTCAGTGCTATCCGCCTGAGTCCAACCCTAAACCCCTAAACTTCTGAAGCCCAAAGCCGACAAGCTTTAGGGTTTTGGGTTTAGGGTTCAGCGCATCGACAATGGAGGCGGGTAGGTAGAGCCACGGCATGACCTTGGGGTTCGGGGTTTGGGTTTAGCGTTCAGGGTTTAGGGTTTAGGGTTTGGGGTTAAGGTCGTAGTGCAGGGTTTGGCTGTCATGACCATACGTAATAGGCCACAGGGTGGAGATGAGAGTATATATAGCTCCCCATGGGCTTCTTTTAGGGGTTTAGGGTTGAGGGTTTTGGGGTCATATGGGGTTTAGGGTTTTGCGTTTAGGGTTAAGGGGTTTAGGGTCATATTGCGGCGGCTTGATTGGCAGGAGTGGCAACTGCTCGTATGCACATAGCTCTGACTGTGGTCCCCATACACGGTCGAACAGGCTACTACGCCCGAGTAGACCATAATCATCCACAAGAAAGGCTGACCACCTACATGTTAGGGGAACAGGTGGGGAGTTTCGGGTATATAGGGCTTCTATAAGGCTTCTATAAGGTATATAGACCTTCTATAAGGCTCCTGTAACGGTAACTGCCCACCTGAAAATGTTCTAGAACATGTACGTAACTAGTCTTAAATCCTAAACTGCCATTCCGTACTTTCTGTGAGGCAGCTTTACAGTGCGTAAGGGGGTCTTTGTGGAGTCACGACAAAAGCAGTGCGTTATGGTAATATAGGGGCCTCAATAATCAGAGTAGGGTTTGGGGTATCTTATACTATAATTATAATAAGGAACCCGCAAAACCCTATTCTGATGATTAAGGCCCCTACATTAGATCACGGTATGCAGTGGGAGATGCGTGACCAGCTCAAACCTAAGCTGCCTGAACAGCGTGTCAGCTGGAGGCCTGCAAGACAAGGAAGGGTTTGGGTTCTTTTAGGCTCCTTAATTAATAATTACCAATACTATTTTTTGGGGGAGGTCCCTATTGTAATTATCGTATCATATACCCCAAAACCCTATTCTAGGGTTTCGTGCGCTCCATGCCAGCTAAAGAACCCGTCAGAATATGCTGTAGAGGCCTTTGCTGCGCCATGTGGACTGGACTACTTTACTTGCGCGACAGTCGCAGGCTCGTCAGAAGACCAAGGTGGCTCCTGGCACAAGTGCTGAACTTGGGATGTGCATACTATCTTGCAGTGATGCTCTGGAAAGGCTTCATGGTGAGCACAGAGTGTGAGTGCCCGATATTCATTGTACAGAGTGGCGGCGACCTCAGGCTACACCGCGGCGACGTATTTTTTCTCACTGGGTCAGATTCATTCCGGGCAGGCGATGAAGTGGTGTATCAAGTACCGGACCGGGAGAAATGGATTGCTCACAGGGTCGCGAACGTCCATGAAAAGCCCGATGGAACGCTAGCCTTGCTCACGAAAGGCGATGATAATGTTGTGAATGACCGCGGCCTCTATTCGCAGGGACAGCTGTTCCTTACCCGGCCGGAGATCGTCGGGCGTGTTTTTGCGTATCTGCCATACCTGGGGATCCTTATACTTCTGTTGAACGACTACTTGTGTTTGAAGTGTTGGCTCTTCCTCTCGACAGCTTTCGCTTGCTTGATTGGCCGTGGAAGTTGGAAGAGTTTCGTTGTGTTGTGTCTGGCAGAGTGTGTGAGCTTCAGTGTCACTTGACAGCTTAGGGTTTAGGGTTTAGCGTTTAGGGTTTAGGGGTTTGGTGGCAGCTTTCATTGGTTTAGGGTTTAGGGTTTAGGGCTGAGCTTCAGTGTTACTTGACAGCTTGCATTGGCGGCACATGGCTTCTAAAGCTGGTGTTTTAAGTCTGCCACTTTTTTAGCCCCTTGCACCCGGCCCGGTACAGTTGGGCCGGACGATGCAGGCTAATCGCAACAGTCTGGTGCCCAAAACACTTGGACCACGACCGAAGCAGGAATCTTGGAGCCAGCCCGGTACGTTTGGAGGAAAAGGATCCCTATGAAACATTTACTGAGTAATTATCCTTGAGATGTCGGTTTCCTTACTACTACCTAACCCTAAACCCTAAGCTTTGGTCCCCTAAACCCTAAACCCTAAGAGGTATTCTTGGCAGTGTAAGTGACCATGACTGGAAAGCTCAGGGAGGGCACGAAACATGTAGCCATCCTCTTGGGGTTTTGGGTTTGGAGTTTTGAGGGTTTGGGTCTTTGAGTTTGGAGTGTAAGGTTTAAGAGTTTGGGGTTTTGACTTCGAGGCTTCTGAGTTGCTTCTCAAGCTATTGTAAATCGTCAGCCCGCGCCCAAAACAGAGCACACCTTGATAGAATTCATGCACCCTTATGGGAGCCCTAAATAGGACCCTGAGAATGTAGTACCCTAGGAGTACCTTACAATGACGCGACCCAGATGCTGCAGCATTAGGCAGTTTCCGGATCTGAGGAGCTTTCTTTTCGGGCGTTCGATCTTTGGAGTTTTTCTGTAAGGCTTACTAGACTAGATATACTGATATGATGAGAAAATACGGTTTACTATAATGGTACTACAGCTTGAACCTCCAAACCCTAATCCCGAGGTGTAGGCTTTGGGCGGTTTAGAGTTTAGTCTACGGTTTAGGGTTTAGGATTTCTGGTTCATGGATTAGGTGTGCGGTTTCTGGGGTTCGATTCGAGAGGCGATGGCCAGAAATAGTGCTGGCTGCAGCTTTCGCAGTTTGCCTGAGACGCTGTGACTACTAGCCCCAAGATCCTGAACCTGGGCATGTAGAATCTCGGGCCTTGTAAACCCCACCTACTCCGAGCCCTGAAGAATTTGTTTGGGGCCTTAGTGATCCGAATAGGGTTTTGGGGTAACTTATATTGTACGTAATTATATCATAAGGACCCCCCCCCCCAATAGTATAGGTAATTGAAGGGGTCCCTATAGTACTCTAGACCCGAAATGCTGCTCTAGACCCTAAAGCCAAACAAACCTATGTACGAAAATCATGAGAAGGAACCCTAAAAGGAAGGTTCCTGAGGTTCCAGGCAGGCCTTATAGCAGCCCTGTTTAGTAACCCTTATATACCTTATAGAAAGCCGTACTAGGGCTAGGGTAACTCATAGAACAACCCTTATAGTAACGAAAGTAAGCCTTATACCTTATAGAAAGCCGCAATATGAAAACCGCATTATAGTAACTCATAGACAAACCTTCTTGTAAACCCTATAGAAAGCCCCATATTTGTAACGAGGATACAGGCAGAAGGCCCCTTATAGGAAGCTCATTTTTGTAACGAGGATATAGGCAGAAGGCCCCATAAGACAATTTCCAGCGCGGACAAAGGCGCGAGTGACTGCGCTCTTCACGGAAGCACTGGCGGCCGACACTGTCTTCGAGGCTGGTTCAGGCCAAAAACTTTAGAAACCCTAAACCCTAGACCCTAAACCCTAAACCCTAAACCCTAGAAACCCTAAACTCTAGACCCTCCTAAACCCTAAACCCTAAATCCCAAAGTTCAGGGGTTTAGGGTATTTAGGCTGCAGAAGCACACAATTGCAGGTTAAGGCTCTTTTTTGTGCAGGGCTTCTGCCCGAAGCCGGAAAGCCCTAATCCGTAAATCTCTTACTCTCAAACCTAAAGACCTGGTTTAGGGTTTAGGGCTACCTACATGACCCATAAAGTTTATGGTTTTTAGGGTCTCGGGAGTTTGCCGTTTGGGTCTGAATGCTTGAACGGTACGTCAGGCCTCTTAGGAAACAGGGTTTGAGTCTAGGGTTTGGGGTTCAGGGCCTAAGCCCTAAACCCTAAACCCTTAAACCCGCCCAAAACCCTAAACCCTAAACCCTAAACCCTGAAACCCAAAACCCTAAACCCTTAAACCCAAAACCCTAAGCCCTTAAACCCCAAATCCTAAACCGTGGTAGGGGTATGGGGTTACCCGGGGTTGGCGAGGTACAGGGCTTCCCGGAGGCCGACACCCCGAACCCGAAAGGCGAAAGTATACCACTAAATCCCCCCAAAATCCCAAAAATAAGGCTTGCATCCGCGAAAGTTGAAGGTCTACTAGTCCTTTAGGCTCTAGTAGACCTTCAACATTCGCGGACGCAAGCCTTATTTATGGATTTTTGGGGGATTTAGTGGGCTGAATTGAAAGTCGATGGAGTTGTTGCAGTCTCGGGCTGCTTGTTCTCACAATCGCTTCGGCGCTTGCGCTGGGCAGATGTTATCGCCCCTACATTAGGGTCGAGGGTTTGGGTTTATGATTACATCGAACCATACTAATTATAATAAGGAAATCCCCCAACCCTCTTCAGAGGGCTTTGGTAGAGAGTTACACGGCACATTTGTTGTGCCCTTTCGGTTGCATCTTCTATGCACAGCCTGCTATGCACCTCGCCTCCCAGGTGGAGGGAGAGTTCGATTTAGCGGCCTATCTTTATCCTGCTACAGGAGGACACGGTCACTATGTGATGATCCGTCCTGCCGGAGAAGCATGACACGACCAAGGTGGCCTATACTCTGACATACTCCTCCAAGCTCTTGGCCTCGACTGCTTATCCAAACCCCGACGAACCTGATTATGAGGCGTTGCCGGGCGTCGCGGAAGGCTGTTCCGCTGCCCCAGGTTTAAGTTGTATACTGCCCCTACCCAATAACAGTTGAATAATATTTCTAATATGGATATACAAAGCCCTGACTAGTAGCCCTCTCATAACTTGTTAATTAATTAAAGCTAACTGTATGACGGGGGTCGTATGGCTTCATGTTTTGCTGCCCTCCGCGGGGTCTGACGTTCAAGGATGTGCTTGCACTCCAAAAGTCATCGCAGCATCAGGGAAGGTTGAGGATTCAGGTTTAGGGTTTAGGGTTTAGGGTTTAGGGTTTAGGGAGTATTATTGGAGCTTCCATGGTTCATACTCATGTCCAGGCCCTCCGCAAGTTGTACGCTAGGACCCTCATCAATAGTTCCTCGT